GATCAGTTGGACCGATTATGTGAGAAATGAAGAAGTGTTAATTAGAGTCAGTGAGCAGAGGAATATCCTACATGAAATAAGAAAACAGAAGGCTAATTGGATTGGTCATGTTTTATGCAGAAACTGCCTTCTAAAAGACGTTATCGAAGGAAAGCTAGAGGGGCGGATAGAAGTGACAAGGAGACGAGGAAGAAGACGTAAGAAGATGCTGGATGACCTTGGGGACAGAAGAGGATACTGTCATTTGAAGGAGAAAGCTCTAGATCGCATTAAGTGGAGGAATTGTTTTGGAAGAGACTGTGTACCTGTCGTCTGACAGATTACTGATGATGATGATGTTAGCCAGTAATGGAATAAAGTTCTGAAGTGAACTTTCTTCTCATAATTAAGTGCCTACTCTTGTAGTCAAAGTCAAAGTCACATTGCGACTGACGGTCAGGCTCATGACCAGATATTAATTATTATCGTATGACAGTTACGGTCTNCCATTTGGCACTGACAGTCTTGTTTCTGTGGGACGCCTTCTCTAACAAGAGGCCGGGTCTGTCTTTTGTATATGCTGCTGGCCCTTGCCAGCGCAGTCTTCCTCGGGTCCGAGTCCGTTGGGACTCGCTACCGTATTTTACTGTCTCAGAATTGAGACTTCCCTTTTCGTCACCTCCTACGACTCGCAGGGTCACGGTGGAGGTATTCGACCCCGCCTCCACACTGTTTAATACTACTCTTCTAAGCAGGAATTCAACCTTTTGAATGTAAATCCTCTATGTTAGTAGAGTCTCTTGTTGCCTTGGAATGGCACATCCTCAGGTTGTGGCTTGAGGAGACTGCCTCCAGATATGGGGCGTAGCTGCGAATACGTGTGTATTGAATAAGCAGCCATGGACAGCCGACAAGGAGTGGTCCTCCAGCTTCGGGATTGGGTTAGCAACTCCTCACCGTAAAAAATAAGCTTGTTACGAAAGATCACATGAAGCCTCGTACCTGGACAGATTCTTTGAATAAATGACCTAAGCAAAAGAAGATGGATATGAGATTTGGTGCTTGGAATGTTAGAAGTATGTATAGGGCAGGTTTGCTCAGGGCAGTCGCAGAAAAAAACTAAAAATATAAGTTAGATTTAATGAGAGCACAGCAGGTCAGACAGGATGGAGTTGGCATTGAACCAGCAGGCAAATATACGTTTTCCTGTGGATAGGGGAAGGAGAATCATGAATTAGGTAAAGGTTTTTTCGTACACAAGAGAATCATATCAGCAGTTTAGGGAGTAGAGTTTGTTAGTGATGTGATCTCTTACATAATACTAAGACGTTTCTGGTGTGACATTGTTCTGAATGTTCACGCCCCCAACAGAAGATAAAATTAATGACATGAAGGACAGGTTCTATAAAGAACTAGAACGTGTATTCAATAGATTCCCAAAATACCATATGAAAATTTTGTTAGATTTAAATGCCAAAGTAGGGAGGGAAGACATTTTCAAACCAACAGTTGGGAGTGAGAGTTTGCATGAAATTAGTAATGATAATGGAGTTGGAATAGTAAACTTTGCCACATCAAAAAATCGTACTGTCAAAAGTACAATGTTCCCACATTGTAACAGCCATAAATTTACTTGGACATCTCGTGATGGGAAGATACACAATCAAATAGACCATATTTGGATAGACAGGAAATGGCATTCAAGTATACTTGAATACTGGCAGCAGATTGTGATACTGACCGCTATCTGATGGTGGCAAAAGTCACGGAGAAATTGTTAGTGAGTAAACAAACAAAGCACATAGTTCATATGGAGAAGTTCATTCTCAAGAAATTAAATGAGGTAGAGGGTAAAGAGCAGTATTGTGTTGAAATCTCAAACAGGTTTGCAGCTTTGGAAAACTGAGGTGGATGTTAATAAAGCTTGGGAAACTATAAAAGGGAATATCAAAATGTCTGCCAAAGAGAGTCTAGGTTATTATGAACCGAAGAAGCATAAGCCATGGTTTGATGAAGGTTGCTCAAACTTATTAAACAAAAGGAAGTAAGCCAAATTGCAGTGGTTACAGGATCCAAGCAAAATAAATGGGGATAATCTGAACAATATAAGACGTGAAACCAGCAGGCCTTTCAGGAACAAAAAGAGGGAATATCTGAAAGACAAAATTGATGAGCTTGCAACAAACAGTAAGAACAAGCATATCAGAGACCTGTGTAGAGGAATAAATGACTTTAAGAGGGGTTACCAGCCTAGCAGTAACTTAGTGAAGGATGAGAATGCTGATGTGCTTGCAGATTCCCACAACATTTCGAATAGGTTGAAGAGCTACTTCTCTCAGTTATTAAATACACACAAAGTCAGTGATGTTAGGCAGATAGAAATACATACAACTGAGTCATTAGTACTTGATCCTAGCTGGTTTGAGGTTGAAATTCCTATTGCAAAGTTGAGAAGCATAAATCGCCAGGTAGTGATGAAATTCCAACAAACCTCATTCAAGCAGAAGGTTAAATTTTACGTACTAAGATCCATAAGCTAATTAATTCTATTTTGAATAAGGAAAAATTGTCTGATCAATGGAAGGAGTCAATTATTGTACCAGTTCACAAGAAGGGTGATAAAACTGAATGTAGTGATTATCACAGGGTATCATTGTTATCAACTTCATACAAAATTTTATCCAATATTCTTCTCTGAAGGTTAAATCCATATACAGACTAAATTACTGGGATCATCAATGTGGGTTTTGATGGAACCAATCAACTACTGATCAGATCTTTTGCATTCGTCAGATACTGGAGAAAAAATTGGAGTACAATGAGACAGTATATTACCTTTTTGTAGACTTCAAGAAAGCCTATGATTCAGTTAGGAGGGAAGTAATGTACAACATTCTGATAGAGTTTAGGGTACCCATGAAACTAGTTAGGCGGATTAAAATGTGTTTAAATGAAACGTATCCTGAAGTCCGTATAGGTAAATATTTGTCTGATAATTCTCCTATCCAGAATGATCTATAACAAGGGGATGCTTTATTGCTATTGTTTTTTAAACTTTGCTTTAGAATATTCCATTAGGAAGGTCCAGGAAAACCAGGTGAAATTGAATGGGATATATCAGCTGTTGGTCTATGCTAATGGAGTAATCTATTGGGTAATATTCATACCATAAAGAGGAGCCCTCAAACATTAATTGACCCTACTAAGGTGGTTGGTCTAGAAGTAAACACACAGAAAACTAAGTATATGTCACTGTCTCATCACTAGAATGCAGGGCAAACTCAGGGCATAAAGATAGCTGACGGATGTTTTGAAAATGTGGCACAGTTCAGATATTTGGGAACAACAGTAACAAATCAAAACTTCATTCAAGAAGAAATTAAGAGACTGAATTTGAGTAATGCTTGCTACCATTCAGTCCAGAACTTTTTGTCTTCTTCTCTGCCATCTAAAAACGTTAAAATTAGAACATACAAAACTATAATTTTGCCTGTGGTCCTGTATGGGTGTGAAATTTGGTCTCTGACATGAAGGAAGGAACACAGACCGAGGGTGCTTGAAAACAAGGAACTGAGGAGAATATTTGGACCGAAGAGAGATGAAGTGTCAGGAGGTTGGAAAAAACTGCATAAAGAGAAGCTTCATATTTTGTACTCTTCTCCAAGTGCAATTAGAATGATTAAGTCAAGGAGGATGAGATGGACAGGGCATGTATCATGAATGGGGGAGAAGAGGAATGCATATAGGATATTGGTGGGAAAGCCACAAGAAAAAAGACCACTGGGAAGACCAAGGTGTAGGTGGGTGAACAATATTAAAATGGATCTTAGAGAGATAAGATGGTATGGATTGAATTGATATGTCTCAGGATAGAGACCACTGGATGGCCCTTGTGAACACGATAATGAACCTTCAGGTTCCATATTGAGTAGCTGCACAATTGGCAGCTTCTCAAGATGGGCTCAGCTCCATGAGTGACTGAGTGAAAGTAAACCCCTGTTTGATTTTATATTTTAATGCATGTCTTATTTTTGTATAAATTTTTAAAATGATCCAAAATAAAATAACACTGAAAGTTATAACACAAGGATTATACTTACAGTGCTGAAAAACTTACAGAGGTCCTTATTTATTTTAAGTCTTATATTTGCTTTATTGCTTGTATCTGATATTTATTACCATGTCTTAGAATTTATAATCTGAGGTCTGTAAATACCCATTTAAACTTTTATGATTCTGTGGAACTGACTGCTCTCTGTAAAGTTCTGACCAACATGTTTTTACATATCTAGGTGATGACTATGCCCCAAGTTATATGCTTTATACTCGTCTTGTGGGACATGTACTTTGCTTCTTGCATATGGCTAACATGTAGAACTAATATGCAGTATTCTTTATAAAATTGAGCAATATTTCGTGGAAAATATACACGCAATATTCTAATGACTGTTATGTACTATGATTATATGGCAGTGCCATTTGGCTACATGTTATGATTTATTGTTAAAGTGTACTCAGGATGGTACTCCATAAGGAGCACAAATGCAAGACTAATTTTCAAAAGTGTTTTGTCAGTTGGGGAAGTACAAGTAACTTTCTATTTGTCAATTTCAGAGGCTGCACAGGTTATGCGTGAAATATGCCTTGCTGTGAAATATTTACATGAGATGAACATTGCTCATCGAGATCTTAAACCTGAAAACCTGCTGTATACCAAACCAGGTAAGGTGAAACAGCACTTTGGCTTCAACATGAGTTCTCCTGTCATTTTTTTTCCAATGAGTGGCCATATGTAAGTGTGTAGTACTGTGTAATGGCACTAATATTACAGCATTAAATTCAATAGAAATACATGTTTCATTACTTAGTTACTTATTTCTGTCCAGTTAGTTCAGTGGCTGTGTGATTATTGCCAGGCTGTCATATATGAGGAGTGTTCCGTATATAATGCCTCCTATTTTTTTTAATGAGAACTATAACAGATGCAGAAAGAATAGTAACACAGTTAAATAGAGAAAGATTTCAGCTACTTACAGTTATTTTTCCACATAATCACCGCCATTCCCGATGAGGTCATTGGATTTTTTTCAATTTACCTAATCCTTCCAGCCGCGCTAGGCCCTGGGGTTTACTCAGCCTCTAACAGAAATGAGTACCAGGAATTAATTAAATAATTTTCCTGGGAAGTGAAGCGTGGCCAGTGCATAAGGCTGACAACCTTACCGCCATCTTTGAGCCGATTATCAAGGTAAGGTGGGACCCTTAATGTCTCACAACCCTATGGGCCTTCAGAGCCTGTTACAGGGATAGCTTTACTTTACTTAATAACCACCATTCATTATGCACTTTTGCTAGCGATCAACAAGAGCCTGTATGCCGCGTCCATAAAAGTCTGTGCCAGCAGAGGCTAGCCACTTTCTTACAGCTGCAATGACAGATCATTGTCTGGAAAATGTTGCTCATGTAGTCCATCTTTCATAGGCCCAAAGAGATGGAAGTCTGAAGGTGCTAAATCGGGTCTATAAGGTGGATGTGGTAGGACAGTCCAGCCAAACTTTGCAATGTGCGCTGTGGTCGCCAAATTGGTATGGGGTCTAGCATTATCGTGTTGCAAGCGAAAGGTTGTGTGCTTCTCTGGTCTGACTCGGGAAATGCGGGCTTTCAGCTTAGTCAGCATCGTCTTGTAGTGTTCAGAATTGACAGTCCCTGGTCGTTATCTGCTGATCTGTACGGATGAGGCACTGTTCATTGTGAGGAGTCGCAGCTGAGCAGGGATGCCCAGGGTGTTGCTTGTCGTGCACTTCACTTTTGCCACTGTTGAAAAGCACTACCCACCACCTCACTGTGCTGACATCCATTGTATCATCTCCGTACACCTTTAGCAAGTGTCGAAGGATGTCAATGGGTGCAATTTGTCCGGCAGTGAGAAATTCAATATCACATCTCTGTTTCATATGCACTTCTATGTCAGACGCCATTTTGGTAGACTGCTCTGCTGTCGCACGACAACCAAACTAACAGTACATTGGCGGGAAGGTTCAGCCTTCAGCTCAAACGTTACTTATTAACACAAGAAAATAGGAGACATATACGGAGCGCCCTTCGTATATCACTCATTTGTTCATGTTAATACGGCATATTTTGGTAACATGTGACCAAAATATGCTGTATTAACATGAACAAATGAGTGATGTACATCATAATTTGTAAGTTGTTTCACTGCATTTTCCTCTTACTGAGTAAACAACTGTATTTGTTTGCCAGTAATCTATGTTAATTGGTTCTATGAAACATCATCAGTTAGTGGTCTTTGGTTAATGAACCCAGTTTTTTAGCATTTGCTTTGCTTTTCATTGTAGGCCCTGTAATTTCAGTAATTCTATTCAAAAAGTTGCAGAATGTGATGAAAGACAGCAAACATTGGTAAGATTGCACTACCACACTACCAGAATGGCTGGCCAACTTGACTGGGCATGTACATTGGCAGTCGTTCACTTGATTGTTTGGGTATTTGGACATACTGTGGGAGTGTTAGTGGATGGAATCGTCTGTTATTGGGGGATGGCTCTATTGAAATTGAAATTGGAAGTTAAATTATGATGAAGACCGAAGTTTGTAGTCAGTCAAAATATTCTTTTGGAGGTTGAATACTGTAGTGCATTGTCATGTGTGGGTATTAAGCGTAGTTCATTTGTCAGTGTGTCTTGTATGTTGGGTTTTAGTGACAGCGAATAGAAGGTGTCTTTTGAAAGCTGAATGATTTTTGTACCATATGCAGGTTTCAGTGGTAGTTGTGTTGACATTGGGCCCTTTTTATTTTGATGTGATATTTTTGGTTGGTGAGTTAGAGACTATCTCCACCCACCAACCATGCGAACCACGTTTGCCAATTGTAGATTTCCACTATCTGTGCTCCTATATTTGTATGCACCTTGCCAGCTATACTACTTTTACATATCAGCAGCTCTTTTATTGTGTATACATGAAATGATATTTGGTGGGTTCTGCACTAAGAAATCCACCCTTGCTGGGTGAAGGGCTGTGCCTCAATCTGAAATCAATTTTGTAGGTTCCATATTTCCTTTATGGTGTATCCTTGTATAGCACTTGTGTATATTTTATGTCTTAATTTATTTTTGATGTGATATAGGTAATATTTTTGTAATTAGTGGAGGAACAGGCAACTTACATAATCTTTGATAAGTGTTAACAATGGCTGCAGTTCCTATAGTACCCAATTTCCCAAAAGGCCACAGTCTTGCCAACCATGGTGCATTTGAGATTGTAGTGTAAGGCTAAATTCATGAACTGTTGTGAGGTTTAGTGATGGAGGATTGATGTATTTCATTCTGTGTGCCTCTTATTTTATTTGATATTTTTACAGACCAGACAGGGATTTTAAAACTCACAGACTTTGGATTTGCAAAAGAAACTTTTTCAAAGGACACACTGCAGACACCATGTTACACTCCATACTATGTTGGTAAGTTTACTTATTAAATATTATAGTTTGGAGCAGATTTATCTTCTGTTAATGAAATCTTCCTTTTGACAGAATTTTCCAGTTACTTTAGAGAGAGATTGAATTGTGAAGAAACACTGACAAGAGAGGCAGTTGCTGCATTGGAAGGTTACCAGCACTGTGTATGTAAATTATGCCCTTCTCTTCACGAAACAACACACTCTGCATGTGACTGGTTCATATTGGAAGAACCATCTTGTTTCCTAAGTCCTGTAGAATCAGAGTGAAGTGTGGAAAAGTCATTTTGCTTTATATTGACTGTTGTAGCATTGATAGTTGTCTCCTACAAAATTTTCTTTGCAGCATGTGTAGTCACACTGACTGCTGTTGACACAAGATGCATGTACCTACAGCATAGACGTTCAACAGATTCTCAGTTACCCACACACAAATTATCTCACTTGTTCATTAATTGTGGGACATTTTAGAACCTCTTAATTATCTATGTAAGATTTGAGGCTTTCACGGCGGTGACTATGAAGAAAGCAGTCTTCTGGGATTTGGCACCGTGTATATGTGGTCTTAACCGACGTTTCGGAGGAACGTATCGCCTCCATCTTCAGGGTAGAAGAAAAAGTATAAGAAATCTGCAAGCGACAAGACCGTGAGAACGGTACAGTCTGCTTTTACCGTTGTCACGGTCTTGTCGCTTGCAGATTTCTTATACTTTTTCTTCTACCCTGAAGATGGAGGCGATACGTTCCTCCGAAACGTCGGTTAACACCACATATACACGGTGCCAAATCCCAGAAGACTGCTTTTTTCTCTTAATTATCGATTATAGCTTCCAATAATGATGTCTTTTCCATTATGTCTGTTTCAGTAATATGTGTTTGGTGCTTTATGATGATTTGCAATAGACTGTATTTTTTTTTTTACTCTGTAGCAATATTCTGTTTGTTGTTCTATTGCTTTTTGTGCTGGTCTGCTATCACTGAACAAAATTACTTAGTCTGTGGGAAATATAGTTTTCTCACTGCAAAGTGACCAATAGCACAACCACTAAGTAATAATTAAGTGACTTTCAGGTTTGGATGAAGTGTGGATAGTTGGTGTTACCATAGTTCTGTATCATACATTGTTTTGTAATTATCTGCTCCACTTCTTCTCTCATTACTGTGGATGATTGAGAATTTACTGTACATTCTGTTCAAGTTATCTCATAGCAACACATGAAAGCTGTTCAGCTCTTTCTCATTCCGTCTAGCAAGACTAAACTCTAGCTGCTGTGAAACACTTTTCAAGTAAGTTCTTTTTTCCCCTCTCTTATTTGGCACACTCAAGTCACTTCACGAAATGAGGTATGTTATTTGGAGATCTGCTGTAAATGCCATTTCAGAGATGCCGTTGGTCAGGTGACTCAAACTTATAGGTATAGAGGTATAGGTTGGCATCTTCCTCTTTGGAATCGAGGTGGATTTTTTCTTTTATTTGTGTTCAAGTTTCTGTTTATAAAATAGAGGGAAGTTGTAATAGAATGAAAATATTTTAACAGTTTTACATTAGTAAAATATTTCTGAACTAGCTCACTCCATGGAGCTGAACTGTTCTTCAGAAGCCTCCAGGTGTGCCACTATTGGAGAATTTCCCAACATTTTATAGAACACAAAGGTTCATTATCATGTTCACAAGAGTCCTCTACTGGTTCCTATCTTGAGCCAGATTGATATAATTCATACCACCACATCCTATATAAGATCAATTTTAATATTATCCACTCACCCACATGTTATATGCATTCCTTGCCCCCCCCCCCCCTACCTTCTCAATTCCCNGCCCTGCCCATCTCATCCTCCTTGCCTTGAACATTATAATTGTGATTTTGCCCTCCATTTTGGTGATAAGACTGCAACATACAGTTAATTTTCTCTGTGCTTGCTTCTATACCAACCTCCTTACTAACAATATAGAGTTTCTGTACTTTTCTGTATGGTATATATGTTATCTCCCAATAGATGTACATCACCAGCTTAGGCCCAGAAGCTGACATGTCCCATTTAATTCGAGCACCACTTGGTTTTCCTGGACCTACCCAATGGCATATTCTAAAACAAAGTTTTATATACATCTCCTTGTTTTAGACCATTTTGGATAGGAAACTTCTCAGCCAAATATTTGCCTATGCAGACTTCATAGGCTTCATTTAAACACATTTTAATCAGCCTAAATAATTTCATAGACACCCCAAACTCTCAGAATATTGTACAATATGTTCCCCCTTACTGAATCAATGGCTTTCTTGAAGTGTACGAATAGCTGATGTACTGTCTCATTGTACCCCCATTTTTTTCTCCAGTATCCGATGAACTGAAAAAATGTGTCCAGTAGTCGATCTGTTACGTCGAAAGCTACATTTATGATCCCAAATAATTTTCTCTGCTTATTGACCTAACCTTGAGGGAAGGACAATGAATGAAATTTTGTATGCAGTTGAAAACAGTGGTCCCCCATGGTGTTTATTGCAGTCAGTCCTGTCGTCCTTCTTGTGTACTGGTACAGTAATAGATTCCTTTCACAGATCAGGCAATTCTTCTTATTCCAGGTACAATGAATGAGTTTATGGATGTCAGACCACAGTGTTTCACCTCATGCTTGAATCAGTTTTGCCAAAATTTGATCACTACTTGGTTATTTACACTTTTTCAGTTTTGCAATGGCATTTTCAACCTCAGAAGGTCTAGGATCAGGTACTAATAACTCAGATATATGTATTTCTATCTGCCTAACATCGCTGACCACATGTATATTCAATAACTGAGATTTGTAGTTTTTACAGCTTTTCAGAATGTTGTGGGAATCTGCAAGCAGGTCACCATTCTCATCCATCACTAAGTTACTTTTAAATTGGTAACCCCTGTTACATTTATTTGTGCCTCTATACAAGACTCCAGTGTTCTTATTACTGTTGGTTGGAAGCCCATCATTGTGTCTTTCAGATATTCCCTCTTTTTATTCCTGAAGTGCCTGCTGGCCTCACATCTTATGTTGTTCAGATTATCTGATAATATTTCTCTTGGGTCCTGTAACCACTGCAGTTCGGCTTGTTTCCTTTGATCTAACAATTTTGAGCATCCTTCATCTAGCCATGGCTTGTGCTTCTGCAGTTCATAATGATTTAAACTCCCTTCACCTAATTTTTTTTTAATTTTTTTCTAATAATTTCCCAAGCCATATTAGTATCTACCTCAGCATTTAAGTTTTTCAAAGCTGCAAACCTGTTTGAGATTTCAACCCAATACTCTTCTTTATCCTCTGCCTTTTCAGTTTTTACATTTTTTTGTTTGCTCACTTCCAGTCTCTACCTAAATTTTTCCACCACCAGACAGTGGTCAGTATCATGATCTGTTCCCCTGAATGACTGGACATCAGGTACACTTGAGTGCTGTCTCCTGTCTGTCAGAATATGGTCAGTTTGAGCCTGTCTTTCCATCATGAGATGTTCAAGTAAATTTATGGATGTTACAATGGGAGAACATTATACTTTTGGCGGACAGCTTTCTGGATGTGGCAGAGTTTACTGCTCTAACTCCACTGTCATCAGTAATTTCATGTAAACTCTCATTCCCACTGGGGTGTTCGTAATTGTCTTCCCTGCCTACTTTGGCAATAAGATCTCTAACAGAATTTTTGTATAGTATTTAGGGAATTTATTGAATACATGTTCTAGTTCCTCATACAAACTGTCCTTCATATCATCAGTTTTATCCTCTGTTGGAACATGAACATTCAGAACAGAGATATCACACCAGCAATCTCTTATTATTATGTAAGAGATCACATCACTGACAGACTCTTCCCTCTTAACTGCTGATATGCTTCTGTTATGCAGAAATAGAAACCCTGTACCTAATTCATGATTATCATTCCCCTTTCCATAGAAATAGGTATATTTGCTACTGGTTTTATTGCCACCCCTGTCCCATTTTACCCCCTTTACTGCCACTAAATCTAACTCATATTTTGATATTTCTGTCACAAGTGTCATGAGTGAACCTGCCCTATACATGCTTCTTACATTCCATATTTTCCTTATGTTAGGTCATTTATCCAAGAAATTTGTCCAAGTCTGAGTCCCTTTGTGGCATTTCATAACAAGCTTATTTTTCCACTGTGAGGAGTTGTCACACCCAACCCCCAAAATGGAGGACCAACCCTTGTCGTTTGCAGCTGCATATTCAATATATTCTTGGCTGAGGAAGCATCATGCTGTGGTGACAAGGGAACCACTTAACATAGCTATGTCAATTATTGGAAGCACATTTTGTGATATAGGTTTTCACAGTGGTGAAGATTTGGATTGTGATGTTCTGGGTTGTGACATGGTATATTTCCCACAATTTAGAATTATGGTCATAAATCTTAATTCCACTGTACAGGTACTGACATTTCTTAGTTGACTAATAATGTGTTTGTTTTCCAGCTCCAGAAGTTCTTGGCCCAGAGAAATACGACAAGAGTTGTGACATCTGGTCACTGGGAGTCATCATGTATATTCTGTATGTATTTGATTCTCTTTGCTTGAAAAATGTGGTTTGTGTATGTTTGTGCTCTATTGCATAACTGTTCAGTGGCGGCTCGTAGCTAAAATTAGTGGGTGTGCTGCTCCAGAAAATTTGTAACCTTTGTTTTAAAATTGTATAAAAGGAAACAAACATGTATAAAAAGAAAATTTATTCAGAAACTTGATAAAATCCTAAAAGAACAAAATCAAACATTTTTTACTTACTTTAACCTAAATTGTTACAGTTCAAGCTTAATCTATTCATTTAAAAATGAAATCCATTCTTTTTAACCTTTATATTATGCTCATTGATTGAAAGTCTGTATGCCTCACTAAGTTTCTCCTTAATACTTACGGTTCCTAAAAGTGACAGTGAAACTACATTATCAACGTGCTTCTTTGACTTCTCATGCTTTTCAGTTTTTTCTTTCATTTTGTTTATATTTCTAAAACCATCTTTTGTCCACGTTACATCACCCCCAAACAGCAAACACGGGAAGCAAAACAGTGCATTTTTTACTTCACAGCCGCAAAGCCAACTTTTCCGTTTGTACCATTCAGAATTAAAGCTACGAATATATTTCTTGTTCTTGCTTATGCCTGGCTGAGATATTAGAATATCAGGTGTTAAACGACCTCTTTTCTTAACTGCAACTTTCTCATGGAGAGACAGTTGTGAAAACTTAAGCTGTTGAAGTTCACTTACAGTCACAGAACTTATTTCTCGGGGATGCAAGGCCATGGTTAAAGTTTTCTGTTAAATAAAAGAACCAAAAAAAAATGAATCAAATAGAATAGCTGGAAGCAGGATAATAATCTAATTCTACAATTAACTCATATTTTTTAAGCACAACACACGCGGAGTAAAAAAAATGCCTTCCATCAGCACGCCAGGGTCGGCACCGGTCGGCACTGTCGTTCCTGCAGTCCTCCCTCTCCCTTGCAGCCTCATGTGTAGCTTCCTATGTGCGCATGCACACAGTCAATGAACACCTCGCCGCTGGAACTGTGAAACTCACAGTTCCATACAAAGATTTGGCTACTGACATTAAGCTTAAGGATTATATATTGTATTGTACAAGTATAAAGAAAGAAATAAAGAAAAAAGGACTGATTATATAAATGTTATCAATAATATCAAGTGGAAATTGGGGGTGCTGCAGTTCCGCAGTGCCTATATGTGGGCCACCCCTGTAACTGTTACTGAAGTGATTGATTGATTGATAATGATTGGTAATTTATGTATCATCCATAACTGTAACACGGGCACAGATGGACAAGTCAGTTGAACACAGACAAACACTATATGTCAACAACTCGTAACAATGTATAAAACAATATACAATATGGTGTACAATACAATCCCTTTTTGATGAATATCCCCTTGCTGTAGCTTACCAACCATGGGCGACAACTCGCAGCTATTCATTATAAAGCAATAAATATACTTAAACCACTGAAAACATAGGTCAGCCATGTAAATCAAAAGCATCACAAGTTTAGTGCGGATAGCAGTCGAAAGACCATCTGTATACTTCCGCATCATATCAAAATGAATTTGAATTCCCCTTATATTAGATATGCCCTCTCATTTTGGTTTTCCTGTTTTTTTTTCCCCTAAATGTTTTGTGCATACCAGTGACAAATTAATTTTCAGATTGAGGTCTTCTAAGTTGTGATACAGTGTAGTCTTGTAGGTGAAACAGTAAGCAGCAATTGTGGAAGATAATGAAGCAGTTCAGGACCCATGTGCTCATTGCAAGAGGAAGCTAAAATTGTGAGAATTGTGAGAAACTGGAATTATTATTTATATGCCGCATAACAGGACAAATAAGAAGGTGAAAGCCTTGAAGCCCTATTATACACTGCTACTGGCGTCTACACCCACCCGCACTTTACATGAAACAGATTCACTTTCAGATTACATTAGAATATGTGACATAAGTTAAAGGGGAAGTAGCCCTTTCAGAACCACTTCAGAATGAAAGTGAGAAGTAAGAAAAACAGTACTAAAAAACAAAACAAACAATCTTAGTGGCCTGTAGTCTGCAAGCGAACTATACTGACCGAGTGACTGCCACTTGTCGGCGAAGTTAGTTCAAACTTTAGTGTATAGAGGGTGTCACGTGGTCAGCGCAATGTATCCACACAGCTGTTAATCTCGGTATTCAAGACCAGATGAGAAAAACAGTACTGCATTCATTTATTCTATTATTTACCCTCTGTTTCTAACTACAAGCTCTAAAGGAAGATGAATGGAAGTAACTTAGTAGCATTCTATCGTACTTATATTCAAAGGTCCCAATATTAAATTTATAAGTGTAAGTTTGTAAGTGTAAGTTAATCCCTTCACAAAATCAAATATCTCAGTGCAGTGCATTGAAGAGAGAGTTGTGCTTAAGTTTTACTATTTCTTCTCAGATTTATTATGTGCTGTTTGTTGAAATTAAATGAAAATTCCGAGGTCTTACAAGCATTATTAAATGGTTGATGAAAGGATTAAAGAAGTAGATTTTAATAGTGCTTACTGGATTCAGTTGTCCAGGTAGGAATTCAGTGGCATACTTCTGTTGTAATAAACCTTCAGGTTCTGCAAAACTTGGGAATGAAGTCTGTTACTATTACTACACATGTCTTAACTGTATTTTGCTAAGATCATTGTTTATTTCTGTGGTTTTGTTTCCCTTTGTGTACAGTTTGTGTGGTTTCCCACCATTCTACAGTAACCATGGACTGGCCATCTCTCCTGGCATGAAAAAGCGGATCCGCACAGGGCAGTATGACTTCCCGGATCCTGAATGGAAAAATGTGGCTCAGGATGCTAAGGAATTGATTCGAGGAATGTTATGCATTGACCCAACACAACGTCTTACCATTGAACAAGTGATGCGTAACAAGTGGATTGCTGTAAGAATACAGTGGTTTTTCAAATTATGCTTACTTTGGCAAGGTTACTTACACTGTATAACTCACACAGTGTATTGTTTTTTGTGCTGTGTTCATTAATGCTCTGTTTATGAAATAATACATGTGTTATGAATGCAGTGGCATAATATCACTCTCTGCATGCAGTAAAGAAAATAATCTATAATTAACCCCTTAGCGTGGAATCACATACTGGGCTGTCTGACTTTTTCTTTTTTCTGTCGAATACATATGAAGCTATTAGATTTTGGCCTCAGGAGCCTTGTAGATAAAGCACGCTTTAATGTGATATGTATTACCAACATGTTGGATCAAGTTTTACAGTTGTTTTTTTTATTTATGTATGAGTTAATTTATTGATCTTCGCTTTGTGCATACTTTTTAGTGGCTCTCTGAATTCAGTATGCCTAAAGCAGTACAATTTTGACTTCAGTAGTTCTGTAGATGACATTGCAGGATTTCAAGTAATATATAATGTGGAATATAAACCCCATTGCTAAGTGGTGACTCTGTAAACAATAACTGTTTCTGGGCAGGAGGTCAGTAAACATGTTCCCATAGCAATAAATACACACACAACAATAGAGCTACTGTTGGAGAATACTTGCACCGCGCCATAGCTCAAGTGGTTAGTCACTGGCTTCCCACTGCAGTGGCCCAGGTTCGATCCCTGGTCTGGTCAAGTGGGATTTGTGGTGGACAAAATGGCGCTGGGGCGGGTTTTCTCCGAGTACTTCGGTTTCCCCTGCCAATCTTCATTCCACCAAATTCTCCATCTTCGTAATCACCTGGGGCAGGCTACAATAGGCCAATCAGTGACCATCATGCCGAGTGGACCCAGTTGGACTCCACCCCCCACTAAGCAAATTAAAGAAAAATTTCTGTTGGAAATGGTGTGATTCTACATGATCTATGCTGAGACATTATAAGCAAGGAGCAGATTCACTTGTTAGGCAGCTCCATACAGGAGGCTGTGAAGAAAAGAGTTAACTGCAAGAGTGCTCAGTTGAATGCCTGGCTGTGAAGAGAATACTTTATGTGTGATATTTGGAATGTGTAATTCAGTCAGACTGTTATAGTTCCCATGTTAAAATCCGTTGCCAGGAAATGACTAGTGGAGACTGTAATAGACTGAGGACATTAGTCTTTGTGTGTCAGTGATCTGTAAAGTGCAGTCACGAGTCGTGAGTATGTAAGCGGTCAATAAATCGAGTCATCAATCCAAATCCTGTCTGTAGTCACTCATACATGTGACAGTGTTGTAGACCTGTTTGTTCAGTTTTTACTGGAGCATGTACACAGTGTGATTTGTGGCTCCTATCAAACAAGGGGGAAGTATTATAGTCTTGACTTCTGTAGTTCTGTAGACAACAGTTCAGGCTTTCAGATAATATATGGCAAACAGGATGGAAGATGCTTTCATCATGTTTCCCCTTCTTGGAGATTAGTCAGATTTATGTTACATGGCAGTCTGCTGTGGTCATGGCGTCAACAAGTAGAGTGTGTTTGTTGGGTGGTGATGTTGAGAGAATTCTGGAAGAAACATGAGATTCTGCAAGTGCTTTGCAGGGTGGGGCTAGTGTTATGGCATTTATGTGGGAGGGCATGGCTTATTATTATGCAGGGAAAGGAACAAGTTATAGAAAAATCTGGCCCACAAAATGAAGTGAAAAATTGACTGAAGGTGTGGATGTGTTCAAGGTGTTTTTCACGCAGAAACTAACAGATATAATCATCTGCGAGCAAAATATTTCCACCAAACAGTGTCTAAAATCCAGGGGAATTACATTACCATTGAGATCAAGGAAAAGAGACTAGAAACCTGTTATGGAAGATGAGATATATATTCTGGCAATTTTCATGCTCATGAGCATAGTTCAGAAGCCCATATTATGATCGTATTTATAAAAAAAATCTGTTTTGGCAACTCCCATATTTCGCTGTATAATAGCAATGCACTGATTTGAATTGGTATGTAAATTTATGCACTTCAACAACAGTGACAGCAAAGATAATATCTGGGCCTCCAAAACTTTTCAGAATACACACAGTGATGTTCTGTATGAATTGGAAATTTCAGACTTTGTACAAGCCAGACCAGAATATTGCAATGGATGAGCCTTTGACTCTTTGGAAAGGGAGGCTTTCATTCAAACAGTACATTATGTCAAAGTCATTAAAATTTGGAAGTAAGTCTTGTGAGCTTTGTGAATCTAGCTCAGGCTATCTCTGATCCTTTATTATTTATACTGGAACAGATCAGACTTCAGTCAACACTCTTATCAGAGGAGAAGAGTAAAACAGCAGCTGTTGTGTTATTTCTTGTGGAACCACTGCTTGGTGAAGAGCACACATTGTGGACGGACAACTTCTACAATTCACCAGCACTGGCCTTAACACTAAAAGTTATGAAACCTGACTGTGTTGGAACTCTGTACCTTAACAGGAAAGACCACAAATAGTGAACGAGAAGAAACTCAGGAAAAGGGAAATTATAGCTCAGCATTCTGGCCCAGCTTCTGTGCTGAAATAGTGTGGTAAGAAGATCTGAGCATGTGGTGATGAAATGAAGAAGGTGAAAACAGTATGGGAGAAGAAAACCCCTGTTTCAGTTCTGGACTACAATGGAAATATGATAGGAGTCAATCTAAAAGATCAGCTTCTTCATGCTTACCTTCTAGAAAGAAAAAAGCTGACTGAATGGTATGTCATAGTGTTCAGAAGGTTACTCACTGACACAGTTTTTAACTCCATGGTTATCTGCAGAGCAGATTCACAAAGGACTTGAATTTCAGAATTGACATGGTTCAGGGTCTGCTTGTACAGCATCAGGGTGATGTTACTTGTACAGCATCAGGGTGACATTCCGCAGACAACACAGTGCCTAGACTGCTTGAAAGATGTCCCAGTGAGGATTCCTCCAACTGAAGGAAGTCAAGGCCAGCAGAGAGGTGTGGTGTGTGTTACTAGAACAACAAGAGAAAGACAAGTGTTTTGGTGTCATGATTCTGAGGCCAGTCTGTATGTTTAGGGCTGTTTCAAGACTTACCTCACAAAAGTCAACTATTAAGGTAAAATATATTTAATTTACAAAAACATCAGTGTATAGTGAATGTTCTCTGAAAGTTTCATTAAAATCCTTTAATTATTGGGGAGGTAATGCCCATCTGAAACAAATGTAGTACCCTAAAGCAGAGATTTAAATTCCCGGTAGTAAAATCCTTCCACAGCACAGCAGTTACCAGGATAAAAGGAACTTAGAGATAGTTACATTTTGAGTTAATATATGTGGGTAATTTCATGTCAAATGATTTTGAAATGTGATGCACCATTTCCTGTTTTAGTAACAGTTTTATTGAAACAGTGGAAGAAAGGAATGTTTTTGAAAGTTTTAACACTCTGCAACATTCCTTTTAAAGAAATGAAATATCAGTTTTGAAGGTTCAACAAAACAAAACTGAATGGCCTCAGTACTGTGCAAACTTGATACCATTATATGTGTTACACAAGTGTGAGCACAGCTACCTTCAGCAGGTGTTACTTCTGACTGGTCTGCCAAGCTTAACATTGTGTGGATGATGCTGAGTTGCTTGTAACATGCCTTCGTCAAGCAACATCTTCACATCATGATCCTCCAGGATGTGATACCATGTTGTTAAGTAAACAGATACAAACATTTTGGAGGAACTCACCTACTGAACTACACTGTGTTGTGCTAGAACACTCTGATCTGAATACTCACCATCGTGAGAAGCACAGATATGAGGTGCTATCACAAAGTTCCCAGATTAGGTCAAGAAAGAAATGCTGACTTAACTTACTCAGTTTTGGCTGCCATGTCCTTCAAAATAGTCTTCTTGGGAACATATACAGCGATCCCATTGTTTTTTCCACACTTCAAAAGCACCATGGAAGTAATTTTCCTTAATGCTGTCAAGTACCGCTTGTGATTCCCTTTGGATGTTTCAAAATGTCATCCCTTCAGTTTCATTTTTAATTTGGGAAATAAAGCGAAATCACAGGGGGCTAAGTCTGACAAATTGGGAGGATGTGGAACAATAACCATGTTATAAGATTTGAGGTTTTCACGGCGGTGGTTTGCTTGCGGATTTCTTTTTGTCTTCTACCCTGAAGATGGAGGTGATACGTTCCTCAGAAATGTCAGTTAACCCGATTTCTACATGGCGCCACATCCCAGAAGACGACTTTCTTCAATAACCATGTTGTTGTTCGTCACAAACTGGTTTTCAGGGACGTGAGAATGGGCACGTCATGATGAAGGAGCCATTTGTGGTTGCACCAAAGTTCCAGTCTTTTTCGTGGCACATTTTCTCTCGGGTGTCTCAAAACGTCACAGTAAAAGTCAGAGTTGACCTTAGTGTTAGGGGGAACCAATTCACAGAGAACAGTCCCCTTCATATAAAAAAAAACAATGAGCATGCTCTTTGTTGAATTCCGGACCTGCGATCCATTTTTTGCTCTTGTGATTGTGACCTCTTCCACTGCAACAACTGTTGCTTTGTTTCTGGATCATGATCGTAAATCCAACTTTTGTCACCTATTATGGTCCTATAGATAAAAGTTGGGTCCTCATTAGCCATCTCTCATAGCTCAAGACACATGTTTACACGCCGCTGTTTTTGATCATTTGTCAAGAGTTGGGGGAACAAACTTCGTGGCAGACTCCATAACTGATCCCAACGGTGTCTGCCAGCTCATAGACTGTTCAGTGACTGTCTTCATGGATGAGTTCTCGAAATTTTTCAATGTTTTCTGTCATTCTGCTGGTGCTTGGTTGCCCTGAATGTTCGTCATCTTCACTGACACTCAGCCAGCCTTGAAACATGAATGCCATTGAAAAACCACTGTCCACCTTAAAGAATGTTCTCCAAAAGCCTCATGAAGCATTTCAAGGTTTTTGTAGCAGATTTGCCGAGATTCACACAACATTTGATGCAGACACATTGCTCGATTTTGCCATCCATCACAGGCAAAATGAAACACGAAGTTGAAAGAGCACATGTGTATCAACACTGCATGTTCAAAGTGCAGTGTCACATGGCAGACTTACAAAATAGGCTTGCAGAATCGTGACCTTGACATTCCCTCTCCTTTCGCCAAGGCAGTTACAACAGTAACAGTCCGGAAACTTTCCGATACACATTGTGTCATGGAGTATCTTAGTTGTCTGCCTTTTGTTCTTTGCTTGCTACAATGCAAAAAGAGTTGCAATGGTGAAATTTACCCATAGTATTTTTGTAGCATGTCTAGCTTTAAGCCAGACAGATTTGCTCAAGGAGATATAAATCCACACTTTCATAAATAAATGCCAGTGATATCAACTATTTTGAAGTAAGGAATTGTTTTCTGGAAACTTATATCACATTTTAAGCTGTGGTACCAGCTGTTCATAGAGAAGGTGAGAAATGAAATTTAAAAGTATATTATGTATTGTAATTTTGGTACTTCTAAGTGGTTTATGCTTGTAATGTCATTAATATTAAAGACTGTAACGCTTTGTAGTAGAGTGTGAGATTCTGACAACAGTGGTTTTGGTTTCCTTGCTACCTGCTGCATCACTCTGGTTTCTTGCTTGAGTTATTCGATAGCCCTGAAGATGGAGGCGGCATGTCCCTTTGAAATGTTGGTTGACTTCAGCGGACTACACAGTGTTGTATCTCAGAAGATAGAACTCTTCATAATATAATGCTTTATTTTCTGTTTGTCTACAGCAATATACAGAGGTGCCCCAAACACCCTTACACACAGGCCGTATGTTACGTGAAGCAGAGGACCTCTGGCCAGAGGTTCAAGAAGAAATGACACGTTCGCTTGCAACAATGCGTGTTGACTATGACCAGGTGCACATTAAGAATCTGGATAACACAAACAATCCATTGCTGAATAAACGGCGCAAGCGTGGGGTGCCTGATCCGACAGACAGTCCGACGCAATAGTTTGCATGGTTGTATCTCGTATTTCTGTACTGCAGAAGGTGTTCATATTGGCTGAAACAGATGGAAGGGATGACAGAGGTAGGGCTTAGCTCAAGCCAAAGGTAGGGAAAGTCTTAAAAACTTACTTGAATTTTGCAATGTTGGTATGGTGTAGGTACAGGCGGTATTCTGTACCGATATTTTCATGTGTGTCTGTAGTTAATATATTTTATCTTATAACACATAGTCTTAATGAAAAACACACATGATATTTTAAATGAAGACATTTATTTATAGAGTTAATATCTATAATTTATTAGTGTTATAGCATAATTTTATCCTTTGGTTTCTCTGAATGTTATGTGACTTAAAAGTAGAGTGCACAAAGCAGGCTCAGAAAAAAGCTATCCAGTATTTGGCTCAGAATAATGCTATGCAGTATTACCTAAAGTATTCGGCCGTCACATTCAGACTGGCAGTGCCTACTTTAAATTGGTTGATGGTTCTGGTAAGGGTACAAAAATATTTTTAACTGAAGTGCATGTCTGTAGTAAGTAGTTGTGATGCATTTAAAGTCAGTTTTATTCTGTATTTTCTCCCAAAAATTTGAGTGATTGCATTTATTATTTTTCACAGTGCTTTGCAATCGATGGAAGTATTTTGTGGTAGTGCAATTGCTTTGGAAAAACGTTTCTTTGGCCCCATTGGCATATTTCAACATCCTCTTTGTGGTGATTGAGCACTCAGGTCTGGTTATTCATATGTCGCATGTGTTCAAACAACCTTTGTAGGATATCCTCTTCTGTCCAGTTAAATTCCTGACTTATTGTATAGATGAAAATAGAAATAGAATTGTCTTTTAAATTTTCACAGAAATCCATCCATAATCAGTGCTCTTTAGGGCATTATACAGCACCAGCACTTGTTTTTTCTTCAAGGAGGCAAAGTAGTATAAAATGGGTTTAAAGTTAGTTCTCTGTTTTGCTTTATGAGTACCACCACCTTCACTATACTCGTAATCCTTAACTCGCTGATTATTATGAAGTCTTATTTCATTAGATTTTTGTGCAACGAGACAGACAATAAGAAGGTGAAGGCCTTGAAGCCTGGTTGTGCACTGGGACAGAACTTGTCCACCCACCCACACTTCACATAAAGGAAATTCATTTTCATGTTTTGTTAGTAAGAGATTATGTCTGTAAATGAAATTAGAGAGGAAGTGTTGGTTTTGCAGTTCTCAGGTTGTAACAGATTTTGGAATTGACAGGTCTGTCATAGACTGATACATCCATAATTGAAGAAGCAGAACATTATCATTATCATTGTTATTAAACATCATTTGTTTGTATATATGTGGCTTAGACATATTGTAATTTATGTAATTTATGATTCTTATTGTAATTTTAAACTTCTGATGTGAAAGAAATTGGCACCGAGAAGATCTGAACAAGGCGTATGTGCTGGAGGACTGGCCTCATACCTTTTAGTCATGAGTTTTATTTTAAATCAGTACGGAAACCTTCGTGGAAGGAACTCTTCTAGGACTTATGTTCTTGAGTTCTGTTTGGTCTCCCCCTCTCTACCATACCTCTTGACCCATCACTCGCGTTATGAAAGTGAGCAATACCAGTAAAAGGTACAGTTGTCCCTGTGCTTAACTAATTAAGCATTATGACATGGAGACACATGGGGGGAGTGGATGTATAGACCCACTTTTTTTTACCTCAGCACTAGTTGGAGGTGAGTGGTCAGCTTCACGCCCCAGCCACTCTACCTCTGGGGAAAGAGCGCGTGGTACCCATTGGGTAGGAGGCTGGGTGGGCCCCAGAGCTGGGCTGGATGACATGGAGAAGAGAAAATTCTTGACCCTCCTGGGACTTGGAACTCCAACCCCCCCTGTCATCCAGCCCTTAGCCAGGATTACTACCACTGCTGAATGATGTCAACAGAAGTATCAAATAATTAATCATATGCTGGAGACCTATGTAGAGTACTGGTGCTATTTGCTATTTTGCTTTTGTATTAGGCAGTCAGTTGTATTAGCAGCTTTAAGTACTACAGAAATCCATTTTCATTGAGGCACAATAAAGTTGTCTAATTTCTTGATACTGTATTTTAAGTAATGTATTTTTGATTGAAATTAAATACAAGATTTCAGTGTTAAAGCCTGAACCCCAAAATATATATCTATGCAATTTTCAAGATGATCATCTGCTGTACTTAATGAAGTATTTTTTAATACTTTTCCATGCAAATGATTCCCAACTCCATGACAAGCTTCAGAATTCTGTGGTGGTGGTATCCTGCTCCCTTGAGTAATTACCTAATACCATGATACCTAAGTAAATAGCATAAAATACTATCACGTGTATTGGGTGCACGTGGCAAAATGACGGGTTCTAGTTCGGATGATTGGATTATGATGCCAGGAGGGGTGCGGAATAGGGTACCTTCTCGAGGAGTCATCCCTATTGAAGCCCCTTCCCAAATCAGTAAAATACCTTTCTCTCTTCTAACCAAACAACACAAAATAACATTTATTTACATTAGTAAAAGAATAATATAGGTGATCTAACAAAATATGGAAGGGTTGTAAGTACCTCTCTTACTTATTTAAGTTACCAAGCCTGGCTGTGACCAAGACAGACGCATGATTGGTGCGTGATAGACCTCTTGAATGTTTTCTTCGTAGTCAGTAACATGACCCCGCTGTTTATGACCCAACTGTTTTCCTTTCTCACTCCAAAAGAAAATGCCTTTGTTCATCTTCCAGCTGCATGCACCAGGCAGGAAGTTAATTAGTGCAAAATAGATCAAGGTCGGAAGAGGTTGAGGTCCAAGCATTTTCCTGGAGAACAAGAAATATCTGACTTGTTCTCCGATGAGCTATGTGACGTCCCTTGTAAGTCTGCTAGTGATAGCGACTCACAATCTGATAGTGAGTGTGGCAGGGGCGAACAAAAAATTGTGGCCACAGACAGTGAAAGTGAAAGTGAAAGTGAAAGTGAAAGTAGCTCTGACGAAAGTGTGGGTAGAAACATTGCGGGGACAGCCACATGGGGAAAAGTAGACAAAACGCCTGCTTTGGGACAGTTTACTGGAAATCCAGGGGTGAAGCAAATTTCATCGGACCCAACGCAAATGTCTGAAGTAGCGGAACTGTTTTTCCACAATTCACAATTCGAGCATGGTTGATGTTCAAAGGAGACATGGACAGGAAAGAAGCCTGTTTGTATTTCCGAGTATAATATGTTCATGAAGGGAGTTGATAGAGCTGATCAGTACTTGGCCTACTATTCTCTTCCTCGGAAAACAGTAAAGTGGACAAAGAAAGTTGCCTTGTGGCTTATAAATTGTGCCATTTTAAATTCATTTTTGGTTTTAAAAAATCTAAACCCTCATTCAAAATTGAAATACAAGGCATTTTAAGACATATTTCTCTAAATTTAAAATTTAGAGAAAAAAAAAATTTAAAAAATTTAAAGTTAGAACTAAAGATTTTATAGTGCTACTACAGGAACATCAAAATTAACGTGTGTAAAATAATCTACAAACCAGACAGATATCAACAAAGTAGATGTTGATAATAACAAGGAAGGTGTTTTAAATGTTAAATTTTGGGCTGGGTGCAGTGTGACAGCAATGTGAGTGTTATACACCTGATGATGGCCATCTGAGGCCGAAACATGTAGTGTAGAGGAGCAAGATCAAGGACACATAATATATTGTTTGCACTTGGGACGGAATTTGTATCATTATATCATTTATCGTATGGAGTGCAACAGGATGCTTAAATATAATATTGGTATAACAAATAAACTAAAATATTCAATTAGTACTTACTACTAAATCCCTATTCCTTCCAAATAAACATCAATATACAGGGTGTTTCACGACTTTAGGGCGTAACTGCAGGAGGTGATTTCCTAGGTTTTTGTGATCAAAAAAGTTCATATAAGCATCTGTCCAATTTTGGATGGTTACAGAGTTATGACAGTTTTAAACTCAGAATAGAAGGTAACGATTACTGACGATAAACGGAACAAAATAATAAACCAGCATAATACATGATACATTTAAAGTATGAATGTAAAGTTAACTTTGTGAAATTACCTTTAATTTGAATTTATTGGTGCTTAAAGCTGATTTTCGAAAATGCCACCGCCGGCCACATCACAGGCTGCCGCTCGGTTGTGAATCGCGCGGGTCCGTGGCCAGACATACCAACCCACCACGCCTTAGGTACCTCTCAAGTGTCGAGTAAACGAGAATGCTGTCTGTAGCTGGCTAAAAATAGCGACCCGCCAGATGATAGACACGGTTCACACAAGGGCATGTATGAGAATGAAAAAACGGTCATAACTCCGTAACCATCCAAAATCGGACACATGTTTATATGAACTTTTTTGATCACAAAGACCTAGAAAATCACCTCCTGCAGTTATGCCCTAAAGTCATGAAACACCGTGTATATGTGTGTATATAAGAGATAATCCATTTCATAACATATTAACAGCTTGGTTACACATGCTCTCTCAATTACACTCAAATTACAGTGCTATCAATGATTTACATACACCTCATAATCCACTGTTGCATGCACTGTCACACTCATGACATCTCCTAAATCAAACTTGACATCCTCACAGGCAACCTTCCGTATTCCTTGATCCGCTTCACTTGCTTCCGCCACTCAACTGCTCATAGCTCATACTCATACTGAATAGTGCCTGAATAGTGTTCATTGCTCCTGATATAGGCTCAGCACAGACCACATAGAACACACATTACTGCCCAGCAACAGATATCAGGTATTGTTGTCAGGTGTGCTTACCGAGCGTCGCGCAGCAATGGGATGAGTGGGGGTATGTGACGTAACTCTCACTTCCTGTTGCGCCATCCAAGCATTCACAAAGTTGTCACCTAGCAACACGCCAATACAATCCGCAACTCTCACATTGCGCACATGCCCCAAGGCCTCTGTGGCTCAACAGTTCCTACATAGAGCCAGTACGCCACAATATCTTAAATGTGCTTAATTTTATTACATGTAAGTAATGTGTCATTGTAATTGTAGTGTTTAATCAAATGTAGGATCCCATGTGATGTAGAGTAGTTACACAAAATACCAAATGACCCTAGGATTGCAGTATGAACTTTTATGAATCTTCACACTATGAATACTTGTAAATGTCTTCTTCAGAATCATCACCAGTGTGTTCACTCTTGTTATATACGCCACCATCAAAGGCAGAAGGAACCCTTAATCCATTCTACTCCTGTGCTTGTCTTCAGGTCATATGCATAATCCTGTCCCCATACCGAGTAGGTTGAGTCGTCATCATTGTTCCCCATTGTCTTGTCAATGCTGCGTTTACTTTTTCTGGATCAAGGTCTTGTCATGGAAACTTGACCATCTTCAGAATTGACAGAAGAGAGATTGGAGTGGCAAGCCACAATGTTATGGCCACAGGATGGACCATTTTCAGGGTTCACTGAAGGTGACACAGTGTGAACTTGGCAGACAGTGTTTTGTTCCAAGTAATGAGGATATTGAACAGGTCACAGGCAGAGGTGTGTAGGATCAGTTTGTCTACTTGATTATTTTAGCTCTGATTTCTGTTGGAACTATAGATGATGCTGTTGCCTTAGGAGTAATAGCATTCCAGTTGAACAGACTGATACCTGATTTTTGGAATCCAGTTATATACTTTTTTTTT